AGACATGTATATTGGGTGAGATGTCATTGGATTTCTATGCTGAATCGTGCCAGCTCATGCCATTCTATTTGGCTGATACCATTTAGAAACAACTGCTTAATGTTGTCAGGTCTTATTGCCCATGTGTACTTGTTACGGAAGAAATTGGGAAATCTTCAGTGCTAAGGGAGGCAGAAAAAAAAGTAGGTTGGAAAAGATAAAGGTGGGGATTTTGAGAACAGAGAGATGCAAAACTTGCAAAAGACTGTTTTTGTGGAAGTATGCTTTGTTTTCTAGGAGGAACCTACAGTTGTGCATTAGCCTGTTTGTATATTTGGTTTGCTTCATTTGTTTTAAAGGCAGACTTAGACTGCAGAGCTGGAATCTTAGTCCTGTAATCTGCCCAATATTTGGTAGGTTTCCTAGATCTTGTCAGGCAGCAGTGAAATTTAGATCTAGAGTTGCATTTGTCTGAAAACAAAAGAGCAAAAGAATCCTGGCACAAAATTTCACCTGCATTCATTAGAGGCATGGTCTCTGAATCTCACTGGGAATCTCAGGATTTGGTGTTCCCTTGTCTCTGTGCTGCTCTGAACAAGAATTTTGTCTTGGGCTCCCCTTTGACTATTGATTTTTATAGAAAAACAGCCAAATGAGAACATCTGAGTAACTGATGTTGACTTCTGGGTTTATTTAACTCCTGTGAAGTATTCCTCACTAGCTAGGTTTCTCCCTCCATCAGAAAACCCTTAGACCAAAAAGCCCAAAAGCATTAGCTATCGTGATTAAGGTCCAATCTGTCTCTTGACATTTTTTTTACAAAATGAAAACTTAGAATTATTTGTTCTTCAGACTGTTAAGTAACCGTTCTTGAACCTATTTCAGACCTGAAGGGCTGTTCTTAGGAATGTGTTCAATATTTACTTGAATAAAACATTCTTAACCTTGGCTCTTTATAAAAATGTTTTTCATATCCTCATTCCAAATAAAATAAGTCACTATCATATGCCACAAAGGCTTGTTATATAAACTGATAAGGCCAGGTGATCTCTTAGAGAAAAAAAAAAAGTCTGAAATATTTGTTTGATCTTTATTTTCATATTGAAAAAGCATGTCACAGAAAACAGGGGGCTTCTTAATTTCAGTTGTTTGGTTCTCAGACTTGGCTTTCAGCATAAGGTAGAGCTAGAAAAAGAACAAGTTACCTGAATTCAGAAGAAAGCACGTGTGCACTGCCCAGGTAACGCAGGTGGAGTTGTGACTGTGTATCTAACTGATGCCTTGAGATCAGGAACCATTTAAAATGAAACATTCAACCTTTCAGAAATGTATCTTTGCTGTAGGGAAACACCACTGTAAAATTTAGAAGAAATTAATTTTCCTTTCACTGTTTCTCAGCTTTCTGTCTGAGTGCACTAATATATATAAATGAAGGAATGGGTCCTCTGTGCAATATACGAATATCCTCCAAGATAATAATTTTTTGCATATACATATTGAGAGACTGTGCCCTAAGGAGAAGGACACAATGGAAAGGATTTCTATGTAAAGGATTGTGAAATGTGAAGTAAAGCAATTCTACGTCTCTTCTAACAGCTAAATGTAATCTGTTTTACTCAGTGCTGCAATTTTTCAACTGTAAGACAATGTGTGATGCCAAAGAAGTGACTTGTCATCTACCTGAATGCTAGTTTAGTAAAATTATATTTGAAGAAAATCTAGATTATACAAAATTTCACAAAGTGCCAATTCTTTTAGTGCTTAGATACTCTCATATAAGATATGACAGTATGTAATATATAATCATCATTATCCATGAGCTGTTTATATGAGGTGTAGATTGTTTGTAAGTGCAGACAAAACCAAGTTGGCTCCAGGCAGAGATGGATGAAGCTTAAGTTAGTTTAACTTTAAGCTTATTAATTTAGGCTTCATTGTTTAGGCTTCATAAGCTTATTAATTTAGTCCTTCATAGAAGTGGCCGTATTTTTTTGCCAGGGCCAGCAAATCCAAAACCAGCTTGTATGGCAATAGTAAATGCTATTAGGCCTAAGTCAGCAGCTTGAGAATTTCTGAGCCATGCTATCAGGGTTAGAAATGCTGTGGAGGGTGTAGGGACACCCCTGTGTCACTCTATGTAAACAGTGTTTGGATTTAGCATGGACTGATCAGGATGCTGTATCATCACTGCACTTCCTTTTAATATTCCAGGTATTGGGAGAATATATGAGTTTGAATTTGGGAAACTGGGCACAGATTTTTGAGGTTGCACCTGAGCTAAGACGCCCACCTCAGACCAAGAAGACGGAGAAAAAGGAGACATCCATGTGAATCTGAGAGGAGCCATTAGCTCAGCTAATTTTTAAGTCTGAACTAAAAACAGTGAATGACCACATGGGAATCCTCTGTAAAATGCTTTCCCATTAGTACTTGTGTTACTGAGGTAAAAAACAACCAAGAAACTATGCCCCCCTACACCATTTCCAATAGGATGAGTTCTCAAACATCTCAGTAATGTCTGTGAAGATCTATCTTTTGTGAAGTTTACCTGGCATAATCACAGTTGGATGGATACACTGATGTTTTCTTTATAAACATATCCCAAAATATGGACATGGGACTAATTATGAACAAGTGAAATCTGGATTATTTTTTTCATGTTGATGATCAAGATAGACTAGGAGAAACTGTAGGACACAACTATATGCTATATCCCTTAGATACAATAGGTATTTACTGACATTGGCTTTAGTAATTTACATGATCCGGTAGTATAAGTAGCTTTTCGGTTCCTGACATGCTGAAGTCATGTAATCTTGATCCTAAACATCTGTTAATATAAATTGACCAGAAAATTTGCAATAGGCCACTTGATAACATCCCTCATCCTGAGGTTATGGAGCCTTCAGGATTCAGCAATAAGCATAGCTCATCAATCCTCTAGTATATGAACTCTCTCACTGTAGCCTGATGCAGAGCCACCCACTTATGCTTCCTGTCAGTAACTCTTACTCTGTTTGCCCTTACTGTCCTGCTATTCAGAGCTAAGTGAGGGACTAAAGAGTAGTAAGAGAGAATTTTCTAGAAGTTCTAACATATGAATAAAATGTAAATCAAAGAAAGCTTCATTTCTGTGTAATGGGTCGGTTTGGGGTATGTCACTGGCCTTAGCCAAGAACTGAGGTCACCTAATATAAAAAACTGGTTGGGATTGTATTTTCTAAGTTATTTTGTGAAAAAACCTGCTTAACGCCATTTTAAAAAATGAGAGATCAAGTACATCTACTGGTTTACTGTCAGAAGTCTTGATATAGCATCACAGTGAAAATGCTTTAACTATGAAAGGAAATGCAAGCAAAACTGAATAATTGCATAACACTGATTAGACGTGTATGCACTGCAAGGTCACCAGTACATTAACACTCAGTAATGACTGCTATATCCTGGGGTTGTCACAGAATCATTTTCCAGATGTTTAGGACAGGTCTACTTAGTTTACCAAGGGCTTTTAAACAGATGAGTGTAAGTAGGACTTCCAGAAATACGGGCTTGTTAGTAATGATTACCAGGATGGATATATAGAGAAGTGAAGAATAATGGTACTTCTGCTTAGCTTTTCTTTGCTGTCTCTCCAGCCAATTTCTAACCAATACTGTAGGTAGCTCAGTAGTTATGTAGTTCAATAATAATATAGGAGTATGGAAATGAAAATGCTGGGATCATACCATTGGCAGCCTGAAACTTGTAAAGATCAACATAGCTGTTATTATGTAGACTTCACAAATGTGTGCATAAGGACTCACAAAAGTCAATCAACCATCTGTCAAATGTAAATGCTTAGCAGAGTCCTGAGCTTCAGAAGATAGGTACATAACTCCTGTAGTGCATGGTGGGGCCCTCAGAATAGGAATCATACAGACCGTCAGGCTGAGTGGGAAAATATGAATACTTCAAAGGAAGAATAGTAACACAGATAATCAACTATCAACAACTTCAGACCAGAAAAATTAATGAGGTTTTCTTTTTGCCTGTGATACTTACAGGCTGGATAAAGGGCTGGACACCAAACAAGTTAGTAGTTAAGCTACTGCAGAAACTAACTGCCCATCTTCTGCTTTGTGGTAGCTTTCTGATTCAGGAGTAAATGCACAGTTTTTTGTCCAGTAGTAAATTGCCTTGAATTGTCTCGCAAGGAAGAACAGGTCAATTTTAAAAAATACATAAGTATTTCCATCTGGACATAACTTCCTTTTTTTCTCCAGCTCCTGTTCAGTATTCTCAGAGGATAAGCATCTTTTCTGTAAACATGTTGAGACATTTTGGTTCTTTCAGCATCAGTCCACAAAAATATCCTCACGTTCTATCTGGAAAATAATTCACATTGCTTTTTCTATTTCAAGCTGAATCAGAAGTTCATTAAAGGGAGAGAATTTGGGCTGCTGAAAAAAGAAAAGATCAATGATGGGGTAATTATTCACAAGCATAGTTCATTATTCAACCAGCTGTGTACACAGGGTACCACTGACATTAAAAGCTGTGAAAAAATGCTTTTTTCCCCCCTCAACACTTGTGGCTCAAACTATTTTGGATAAATTGTAGTGAAATTTGCATTTGTTATGTCTTGCATTTGTTATGTCTTACTTTTGTGATCTTGAAAGGAAACTGAAAATTTATTGGCACAGTAAAGTCATACCTACATATTGCATTAAAAGCGGGTCTGTTTACTTTCTTTGGCTTTCTGATAGAAAAACAAATGTTTTAATCACTATGGGGAAAAGTACTGTTTATTTATAATTGCACCTGTTCTTGCATAATAGGAAATACAGTTTGAGCCATGCTTTCCTAGAATTGTTGCCTGACTGGTACAGTTGTTCTCTAAATCCGATACTCTTGTGTTATCTTTCAAGGGATGTTTTATTTCTTCTACTTTATTTATTTATATTTGAAATGCCTGGCATGTTCCTCTTTACATTAGTATCCTAGCTATGTTTCCTGAGCTGCCTTTATGGATGTCTTTCAAGTCTGGACAGTAGCGTCCAGTGTCTTTGAATTAGCATTCCTTGATGAAGTGGACTTAATACTCGCATGCATGTGATTGTGGGCCAAGTTGGAGGTAAAGAAAACAGTGTTCTACAAATTATAGGAGCTGCTTGTGAAGTGTTCTTGGTTCTTTGCCCTCCTTAGAAAGTTTTGTTTATGTTCAGTTTTAAGAGTTGCAAATCAGCCTTATCGTTTCTACCATTTGCAAGAATTGTACCCCTGCCAGTGGCACTTCCTTCCCTCACCCAGAAGGTTTCAGTTTTAAAAGTTTTCAGGAAATATTAAAAAGACTTAATGATGTATGTTTCACTAGTCAAATAAAAGGAATTAAAAATTCACATTTAGGTTCTTTCTAAGCCCAGAATTTTTAGCACATTCACCTTTGATTTGGGGAATTGCTCGTGTCCAGGCAGACCTTTACTAAATCCCATGGGTACAAACAGAGATTTAAATAAGCAAAATGATTTCTTCTGCCTGAGTGGTAGCAAAGGTTTCACGTTCCTTAACAAATCAAGTAAGCTTTTAGAGGCTCTAAAGGGTACTTTAAATGTATCCATGGAGAAAAATAGCTGGAAAATGAATTTATGACCCATGGACAGCTCTTAACATTTGAACTTTTTTTTTTTCTTTAAACTCCAAATGCAAACAAAAGTTCATCTTTGTAAAATTTCTTGCTGAAAGCAAATTTTAATTAGTAATTTTTCGTTATTTCAGCCTAAAAATCTGGATCAATATCAAAATAATTTAATAATTTAAATTAAATATTTGTAGCTTGAGGGAAGTTCAGGAGGAAGGAAGAAGAGTGGATGTTTAAGTTACCTGTGCTGCAGATCTTACCAAATGGTCTACAAGGGAAAATGACCTTTTAACATGGCTCTGCAAAGAAGAGGTATTGATTAGATAAGACTTGGTCAAAGCTTTTTGAAAGCTCCAAACAGGAGCAGAATATGTATTATCATAGGTTTTGAGGTCCTCCTTTTGCACGACTAACATCATACCTACTGTTTCTTTCAAAAACAAATAAATTCAAATTTTAATGAGGGCAACATAGAAATATTGGTGAACAGATAGATCCATGCCCTGTTGCAGAGCCTGCTTTAGGCAGCTTTACTAAGGTCATGTAAATATGTTTAGCATATTAACTCAAGTGATTTAAGCAATTTTTCCACCTGGTCCAAATGATCTCCCTGTCATAGGGAACTACCTTCTTTTGCTTCTAAATGGTTTTGCCATTAGGAGGGAACAGATTGCTTTTCCATAATTACAATATATTCTAGCAGTTATACCTAATAATCGTAAAGCTGAAGAGATGAGAAACTAGTCAACTCACTATGTGGAATCTTGTGAATGCAGTATGACCTCAACTGGAGAAGGCTTGAATTATTTTTATGAAAAAGTTTTAATTTGTAAAAGTCAGATATGATGAGGCCATTTTTGTTACCTCTCAAAGTCAGCCAGTGTTTTTATGTACACTGCATGTCTTTCCCAGATCCTCAATGAAAGTAAGCTGGGTTTGGGTATTTAAAATTAATGTTACCTTCTTTTCAGAGCTCTCATTTTATTTAAGCACATGGCATCTGGCAGATTTAAGGCAGGGAAATATGTTTAAGTTGACATTTGCTATCATTAACGTCTACAGACAAGCAAATCTGCAGCAGTTTGGGCAGTGCTTTATGAAAGAAAATTACTTCATGTGACATAGCCTGTCTTCTTGACAGTCTGGGTTGATTACAAGGCTTTTCATTCAATAGATTAAAAATATTAAATTATTCTAAAAGCTCTAGTATTAAAAGTTATATATAATTATAACTTCCCAAAGAGTTTACTTGGGAAAGTTTTTAAGTCTTAGATTTTTTAACAAAAAGTTATTTTTGAAAGTATGGTCAGATTAGGTTGAAGCTAGATTTGCACATATACCTGCTTTAAGTCCTGCTGGAAATGTGGCTAAAGTTATATAATTCTGGGGGGAAACTGAATGTGAGTGGGGTTGTAAGAAAGTCACAGTTTGTTAACACAAACCAAGGTGGCACTGCCTAATGACTGGGCCATTGGACTGCATCTGAGGAAAACTAAACTCTATGCAGGTTTGGCTTTTTTTTTTTTTTTTCCAATTCAAAGCTGTTTGCTTGAGGAAGATTCAGTTGTATTATTCTTGATAAGCTTTTCTGAAAATCTGTTTGCTCTCATTGTATAATAGCCTAAAATTTAGCTTTTTGCTCTCCTATAGGCTTAGGGAGAGATAGTAAATACCAAACAATTAATCTCAATTAACTGCCTAAGAAGGTACATTGACTAGGTAATTGATGTTAAACAATGCAGCACCTAATTTAGCATTTAAAGACTGCATCTACTGCTAAACTGAGAAACATACCTTAAGGGACTTGAACACTGTACCACAATTGTTCCTTTGGCTCAGCTGGAGGCGGGAACCCTAGTATGTGTCTGCTGGTGCTCTCCCAAGCAGTGTCCAGTCCTGGAAGGAAAGGACATTTCAGGCAGGATTCTCAATAATCAGTTTAGAAGTTGCTACCATGTTTCGGGAAAGAAAAACTTTTGCAATGTGGATGTAGCAAGTTCGTGTTGGGACTAGGAACGAGTTTTACTTAGAGTAGTCGTCAAAGATGGCAGACAAAGCATGGCCTTTGGTGACTAACTATACATGATATTTTGCTATTGCTATTGTAGTTTTATTATAGCTCGTTCCACTGAGGGGAAACACTCAAATAATAGTAATAGTGGTAGTAGTAGTAGCAGGGGCATGGGTGTGTGTGTTTTGCACAATCCAATGAGAATTTTCCAAGTATTAAATCTAGTATAACTTTAAGAATGGCCCATTATTTTTTCAATTGCTCAGGTGAAGTCAGCTTTTCTTGCTCTGAGGACCATACATTGACATTTTACAAACGCCGGACTCAGAAAGATACATTAGGTACCTTGTGAAACAAACAATTCTGGTAAGAGTGTACAAGGAAGTGATGGTGATTGGTTACTCAAAGACAAATGTCATTGTTGTTAGGATGCTGTTAGAACATCCCGGATTCATCACAGATGGGCAGTGTGCAGCAGCTTCTGAGGGTGTCTCACAAGGTTTGTCTCAACAGGCTTGAATAATGTGCTTCCTTCTGTTTGCTGGTACTGGGACTTCTTAATCAAATCTAATCAGCACCTAACACTGCTGGTTATGTGGCATAAATGCATCATGTAAATTATGTTTGGATATTTAAGATCTGCATATATTTCAAAAACTACTCATGAGTTATACTGAACTCTTAAAATTAGGCACCTCCGTGCAAATGACTGGAATATCTGTGGAAGCACAATGCAGTGAAATGAAAAGAAAAAAAAACCCAACAACACTACAATTAGACACGCTGATAATATGTTTCAGTAATGCTCATGCCATAATTCAGAAAACAGCTGTCCAAGGTTATTTGACTAACACAGTCTGCCTAATCTGTACCTGACTCATGACAACAATAGCATGTTTATGATCCTGAGAGATTCACATGGACTTGTTTGCTTCTTGGGAAGAGTCTAGAATACTAAACTGCTTTTATAGACAAAGACATTAATTTTCTTCCTACTAGGGATAATGTTCTTTACAGTATGCTACCTGAAAAAGTAGATAAAATATATTCAGTCTTGGCAGTGAGGTATAGCTAAGCTGTATATTGCTGAAATGCTGTCTAAACTTGTGTTTTGTCTGTCCTTCACTATACCATTTGGGCTGTATGTTCAACCAGGCAGATGTTCTCTGAAAAGATGTAATGAATAAGGACTATTGTCAGAATTTTGTAGATAAAGTGAAATTTGAGAATTTTGTAATCTGCTGCTAGGAAAGCTATAATCCTTTCTAGAGAACATCTCTCTAAAGAATATGTTTCTAGAAAAGGGGTACAAAGAATATATGTCTAGAAAAGGGGTATATCTCAAGGTTACATCTCCTTTAAATGCCTGAGAATTTTGCCAGGGTGAACCTTAGCCATTTGCCTTTGGTCTTTGGAGAACTAGCTCCTGCTGGTCTGAAAAGTGAGTCAGTGGTAGCACCTGGGGAAGGCTGGAGCTACTGTGAATTCTAGCTAAATTCATTATGCCCAGAACATACTAATCTGTAGACTGGCCCCTTTGCTCTTCAGGTTTACTGAATGGCTGTTACTTTGTGGGTTGGAACTACTTGATCTTTAAATTCCCTTCCACCTCAAATCATTTTTTGATTCTGACAATGTACTAAGGAGACATTTTTCCTGGGATTTGGCAAGGGCAGCCAAAATTCACGAATCCCTATAATCTCAAAACCACTATCGATTTAGGGAGAGGGTCTCTCATTTTTTAATGGTTTTGGTTGTTATCCTCAGCTCCCTAAAAAGGAATCCTTTTCCTACCCTTCCTCTGGGTCAGGCGCCTTTGATCTAGAATCCAGAAGGATACACAGCAATACCATACTCTTCACCATTGCAAATCCAGCTGCTTTTCTTTAAATGGTCTAATTCATGGCTAAGTGTATGAGCTGTGAAGCTGATCTTTGCGTTTGTACTAGTCATATGTAAAGAATTTCTGAACACCTGATGTCCCTTTTGTAGCTATGAGGGTAGTTGAGATCTCTGCCAAATATCCACACCCCAAGTTTTACCTGGGTAAAGTTTTGGTCAAGAAAAGGTTAAACATTCAGAGAAACAGAAATCCAAACACATTTTGACTCCATTCATTTTCCAGATTGGCATCTCTCATCACAACACAAGAACAAACTAAATCTTTAAAAAATGTAAGTCTACTTTGGATGTAACCAGAGGGAAGAGGATTATGAGGATGATGGCTCAGCTCAGGAGAAATCTTTGTGAATTTGTCTCTTTCTAATACAAGCACAGGTTGTACTTCAGAAATGTTTGTCTGACTTTCTGAAAACAGCAAGGAATTTGCTGTTACCTCAGGCAGGGAATTTCATCTTGGTTTACATAATATTTAGGAGTGTCCTAATGACTAATACCCTGAATAACTACTGCAGCAACTCCTGCATCTTTGAAATATCATGGCTTAGCTTCATATAGGATGCAGACTGTTAAAATGGTGAGAAAT